TTTTTTTTTTTTTTTTGGTTAATCCTCACCATTGATTCTAGAGGGAGCAGAAGGGAGAGGGAGGGGGAGAGAGAGAGGAGAGAGAAACCAGGACTGGGAACCTGAAACCCACGCACATCCTCTTGACCTGGAATTAACAGTGAACCTTCAGTGCACGGCTATTGCTCTAACCATTGAGCTCGCCGACCAAGGCCAAACCTCCCATTTCTAACTGCAGGTCCTATTAGGACTTATCAACAGGTCTTGGTTTTACAATACTAGGTAGGGGACGTGTTCCCCAGTAGGACATAATACCCATTCCCATAAAACAGTAGTTAAAGGGGACACAACTTCTTTATATAAAGCCTGTTTAAATATTCCAACTTTCAGAATCTTTTTATGTCCTCTCAATCTAATTATAGCCCCAGTCAGGGCTTCATCAATGGGTTTTGGTACCACCGTGTATGGGGCTCCTGTATCAAGCAGCCCTGGGAATTTTTTTCCTTCACTCCCTGACCAAGTAACCCGCTCTTACGCAAAAGGCCTTGGATTAGAGAGAATTCTGCAAAGATGGTAGAGTAGGAAGCACCAGGAATGTGTCTTCCCACCTGGACAATAATTCCACTGGCAGAATCTGTCCAATGGAACTCTGAAGGCTTACAACTTCCAGGGAAAGTGTTGATCAGTAATTGGTGGTAAATTTCATCTCTTAGCACAGTAGCAGCTACTCAACCCACACCCCCCGTCCTGTGGCAGGAAGCTGTGCATTTTACTGGAGCAGCTGGCACACAGCTTTCAGGGACTTGTTAAAATGTCAGTACTACCCAAAGCAATCTACAGATTTGATGCAATTCCTATTAAAATCCCAATGATGTTTTTTGCAGAATAGAAAAACCCTTCCTAAAGTTCATAAGGAGTCTCAAGAAACCCTAAGCAGCCAAAACAATCTTGAAAAAAGAGGAACAAAACAGAAGGACTCATACTTCCTGATTTCAAAACTTCTTACAAAGCTGCAATAATCAAAACAGTGTGATAGTGGCATATAGACCAATAGTACAGAATAGAAAGCCCATAAGTAAACCCTCACATATACAGTTAAATGATTTTTGACAAGGGGCCAGCCCATTTAATGGAGAAAGGATAGTCTTTTCAACAAATAGTTTTGGGAAAACTGGATAATCTACGCAAAAGAATTAAATCAGATCCTTACCTAGAAAAATTCACTCAAAATGGATCAAGGGCCTAAATTAAGACCTAAAACAAACTCTTTGAAGAAATATAGGACAAAATCCTCACAACATTGGATTTGGCAATGAGTTCTTGGATGTGATACCAAAGGCACAGGTAACAAAATAAAAAATAGACAAATTGAACTTCACAAAATGTTTTAAATTTTGTACATTGATACTATCCATGGGGTAAAAAGGCAACTCAGAGGATGGCAGAAAATATTTTCAAATCATATCCCTGATATCTATAATATCCAGAATATAGAGAGAGCTCCTAAAACTCAGCAATAAGAAAACAAATAACCCAATTCAAAAAACAGGACTTGAGCGGACATTTCTCCAAGGAGGATACCCACATCACTAATCATTAGTGTTTGCTCTTTGTTTCACTCCTATCAATATTTGCTTAATTTGCCCTATTTCTTTTTTCTTTGTTTCTTTTTTAAAATCCTTACCAGCAGATCTTTTTTCTCATTGACCCTTTGAGATAGTGGAAAGGAGGGAGGGTGGCGGGGGAAGGGGGGAGAGAAAGAGAAACATCGATCTGAGAGAGACACATCGATTGGTTGCCTCCCACACGTGCCCTGACTGGGGCCGGGGATCAAACCTGCAACCCAGGTACATGCTCTTGACCAGGAATTGAACCCACAACCCTTCGGTGCGTGGGCCGACGCCCTAACCACTGAGTCAGACGGGCTAGTGCAAGACCTGTCTCTTGATTCTCTCCTCTGCCTTTCCCCATTTTTCTTGTTCATTAACCTAATATTTGTATTAGTAGTAAGACCCATGAGGGAAGGCAGAGAGAACAAATTCTGTCTTCCTGAACTGTCCTTCAGTTTTGTAACAGTTAGATTACACGGGGCGCCTATGCAACAGGGCCCCCCTAACCACAGCACTTACCATGACCCGGGTAAAGAACACGCTTCCTGGGTGAACAGCCCGGTCCTCATCAAGCCAGTCCCGCGTGGCTTGCCCACAGAGCATTTCAGCTGCGGCGCTCCACTTGGCATTGATAGGGGGAAACCAACAGTCCCCACTCTCAGGGTGATCGGACCTTTCAGTGGCTTTTATCCAATCCACCCGGCTGGCTGCTCCCTTGGGAATGACTGTGTGTGTGTGTGTGTGTGTGTGTGTGTGTGTGTGTGTGTGTCCGAATGAGGACAGCCATCTGTGACGGCTCCATAGGAGCTGGGGGTCCTGTACTAACCTAAAAATGCTCTTCCACTCACTCTGCAGCATCAACAGCCCCCAGCTTGGTTACTCTCACAATCCATTTCAGTCAAGGTTCTTCAGAAAGCTGGTGATACCGATCTATGAAATGAAACAATTCTTTCACAGGGTACCCCTGGTTTCTCTAGTTTCTTGGTTTTGCCCTTCCCCCATGTCGACTACTTCTTGGTGACCACGGGTCTTAGAGGTTCTTGCTGTTCTCCCGCATAATTTTCACCCTGGGCAGCCGCTGTGAAGCCAGTGGTTGAAGGTCAGCCTCACTAAAACCTGAACTTGGTCTAGCATCAAGGTCCAACCAGCACTCTCTTTTAATTTCGTTTTAGATATTACAGATAACAATAACTAAGAGATGGAACATTTTACCTTTTTCTTATTAGTTTGCATGTCCTTATAGATCCCATGAACCAGCTCCCCAGGAGAAGATTCATCTCTAAATTCTATTGGTACATGCACCGTTGGTAACCAAGGACAGCACAGCGGCTGCTCCAGCCGCGGATGACCATGTGGCCACCAGAAACCAAAGGCTCCTTCTTTTCACCCTTTCTCTTCCCAAATCAGGTTTCCATGAGCCAGAGCCATACTAGCAAAATCCCACTTTTTTCATACTAACTGTAATGAGAACCCCATTTCTTGTAGCGCAAGGTTTTAAGAGCCCTGTGCCAGGAAATGGGGACAGAGACCAACATATATATTCTTTTCTATTATCTCACACCATGTTTGTCATCAGATTGGCAAAAACTAAAAAGTCTGATGATGCCAAGTATGGGGCAGGTGGGGGCCAGGTGAAATTCGTGCTCTGCTGACAGGGTACACTTTGTTGCCCCACGATGGGAGCAGCACTCCCCACAAAATCTGGTTCAGACGTGGAGACTGGTGAGGCCACGCCCACCAAGAGACTGTCATGAGAAGGATTACTCAGATGATGAGGCTTTCGGTGGGGAGCAGGGTATTTCTGAAATGGCTTGAAAAAGCAAAGAGGGGCTTTTCTTGTGGTTAGGGAGTGAGGCTGGGCTGAGGGCCCCTCCGCACTGCCAGGGTTTCCTGGTTTCAGTTTCCCTCCCGTGCGAGGGAAGGAGCACAGGGCCTTCTCTCCATCCTGCCTGGCTGTGGAGCAGAAGGTGGAGAGGGAGGCTCGGGGCTTTAAGACTGTCAGCAGTCAGACATCAAAAATGGAGTCACAGTCTTTATTACAGAGTATAAATTAGTATGTATGCTTTGGAAACCAGTTTGGCAATGCTTAATAAAGCTGAAGAGCATAACCTCTGTGGTAGATAAAAGATGGTTGCAAGTTCTTTGCTGCTCCTCCCATTAACAGGTGAAATTGAATCCTCTCCCCTTGAACCCTGGCTGGCTCAGCGACTTGCTTGACCAGTGGAATGCCATGGAAGTGATGGTTCTGGGACCTCAAGGCTGCATCTGAAGGGGACCTGCAGCTTCTTGGAACTTCTCTTTGAGGGAAGTCAGCTGCCATGTCAAAAGTCTGAGATAGTCAAACTGTGAAGAAATCCACATAGGCCACAGGCAGAGCTGAATGGAGACAGAAAAATGCTGTCTGGCCTCAGCCGATGCAGCCATCCAGCCCAGGCACCAGACATGAGAGCAAAGGAACCTTCGGATGATTCCAGCCCTGGCTACTATTTACCTAACTATAGGAGCAGCAGCAAGACCCCCAGCAAAACCAGCCCACCCTCAGAACTGTGAGAGAGAAAACACAAGTATTGTTTTAAGCCTCTAAATTGTGGGATGGTTATTACACAGCAAGAGATCATGGGAACGCCTCTCCCCACTGACTCCACTTCTAGATGGATTGTACCATGAAACTCCCACCAATGTGTCCAGGCAAATATGCGAACAAAGGATGTGCATTAGGATGTTGTTTATAACAGTGGAAAAGTACCAACAAACTAGGTGCTCATTGGTAGGAGAGTGAAGAAATAAAGTAAGGCACAAACATTGGATGAAATGCCATACAGTTATTACAAACAAACAAAATCAAAATGCATCATCCTGGATAAATCTCAGGAACCTTCTGGAAAATAGCTGCCTGGATTCTTTTTTTCAAAAAAAGTCAATATCCTGAAAGACACAGAAGAAGGCACAGGGGCTATTTTATTTTATTTTTTTATTTTTAAAATATATATCTTGCCCGGCTGGGCGTGGCTCAGTGGTTGAGCGTCGACCTAGGATCCAGACGATCAGGGCTCGATTCCCTGTCAGGGCACAGGCCCGGTTGTGGGGTTGATCAATGACTCTCTCATCATTGATGTTTCTATCTCTCTTTCTCCCTCTCCTTTCCTCTCTCTGAAATCAATAAAGGCATATTTAAAAAAATAAAAATAAAAAAATATATATATATATCTTTATTGATTTCAGAGAGAGGAAGGGAGAGGGAGAGAGAGATAGAAACATCAGTGATGAGAGAGTCATTGATCGGCTGCCTCCTGCACGGCCCCCATGGGGTCGAGCCCGCAACTCAGGCATGTGCCCTGACTGGGAATCGAACCGCAATCTCTTGGATCCTAGGTTGATACTCAACCGCTGAGCCACGCCCGGCTGGGCTTGATTATTTTAAAGAGAGGAAGGGAAACGGATAGAGAGAGAGAAACATCCATTGGCTGCCTCTTGCATGCGTCTTACTGGGGATTGAGCCTTCAGCCCGGGTATGTGTCCAGACCAGGAACAGAACCGGTGACCTCTTGGTTCCTGGGTAAGTGCTCAACCACTAAGCCACACTGACGGGGTGACATGGGGACTATTTTAGATTAAAAGAGTCTAAAGAGAAATGACAGCTAAATGTAATATGTGATCTTTGATGGGATCCTGGATTTTTAAAAATCATTTAAAAAGGGCATTCTTGTAATAAACAGTAAAAAAGATTATTGTATCTACAGTATTTTACCAATGTCTAATTTATCACATGTGATAATGGTATGTGCTTATGTAGACTATATGTGTCCTCAGGAGATGCTGAGTAAGAAACTGAAGTAGCCAACGGTTAGCAAAATATGTGGCCATGTGTGTAGCGTAAGAGAGAGAAAGCAAATGTGGCAAAATGTTCACAATTGTGAGCCTAATATAATATTCATTATATTATTGAATATAATGCAACTTTTCTTTAGGTTTGAAAATTTTCAAACCTATTGGTTCCACTGATACATACAACACAGATGTATCTCAGAAGCATTATGCTAAACTTACCAAAGAAGTTTATAGTATAGGCACAAAAAACCACGTACTACTTATGCTTCCATTTAGAGAGCATTCTGGAAAAGGCAAAATGATAGCGACAGAAAGCAGATCAGTGACCCCCGGAAGCTGGGGTGGAGAGAGATGGGCTGCAGAGGGTCACAAGGAACTTATGCGTCACGAAAGTGCTCTGTAGCTCTTTGAGGAAGACGCTCTGCCCACTCCTGTTCCTGACTCACCGCTGCTCATTCTCACAGAGGAACAAGTGGGTCAGGAAGCTGCACCTCGGCCGTGGCTTTTAAAGATCCTGCAAACACACCCATGGAACCAGAGGTGGCAATTCGCCGAATTAGAATTACTCTAACCAGCCACAGCATAAATTCTTTGAAGAAGCTCTGTGCTGACATGGTCAGAGGCATGAAGGGAAAGAATCTCAAAGTGAAAGGACCAGTTCAGATGTCTTCTAAGACTCTGGCAATCACTGCAAGAACTCCCTGTGGGAAAGGTTCTAAGACTTGGGACCATTTTCAGGTGAGGATCCACAAGTGGCTCATGGACTTACACAGCCCTGAGATTGTTAAGCAGGCTACTCCCACCAGTATTGAGCGAGGAGTCAAGGTTAAAGTCATCACTGCAGATGTTTAAATCAACTTTTTAATAAATTGACTATCAGTGGTTTTAAAAAAATGTGTTCTAGCCCGGCCGGGCGTGGCTCAGTGGTTGAGCTTCGACCTAGGATCCAGGCGATCAGGGTTCGATTCCTGGTCAGGGCACATGCCTGATGTGGGGGCCCGATCAATGACTCTCTCATCATTGATGTTTCTATCTCTCTCTCTCCCTCTCCTTTCCTCTCTCTGAAATCAATAAAGATATATTTAAAAAAATAAAAAATAAATAAAAAATGTGTTCTATATCATGACTGTGATGGCAGTTATGTTACTGCATATACTTCTCAAAAACTCATCAAATGAAACACTTAAAATTGATGAACTTTATTATATAAAAATTATTCCTTGTATTGAATTGAATTGTGTCTCCAGAAAAGATAAGTCCAAGCGCTGGGCAGTGTGCTCAGTGGTTAGAGTGTCAGCCTGTGCACCAGAGGGTCTCAGGTTTGAT